TGATTTTTCATATATCTTTGGATACTACATGTATCCTTTACACATAAAATTTGTTACTATAATTGCATGAAATCTGCGGTTTAGAAATTAAGTAAAATGCGGTTTAATCTACACTTATCTGATTAAATATATTAATAAATCCAGGTGAAAGAGAAACCTTATTTTATTCAAGCAAAATGTGATACTTATTATTGAAATATTAAAATGAGAATTTTATACTTATTATTATTGAAATATAATGAGAATTTTATGTTTAGATACTTATTATTGAAATATAAAATGAGAATTTTATAAATATTCTACTGTGATTTAGTGAAAAGGAGATTGCAATAATAAATAATTATGCGTTCGTAACTTTTTATATTTGTATGGCAATAACACGATATTTTTTAAATTATATATTTAAATATCTTTGTAAATTGTAAATTATTTACTACGACTCCTAAATACGTTCAGGTAAAGCTAGCTTACGTACGATCTATTCTCTTCTCCTATATTTGGATAAAATAAAGAGGCATCATTTGTTACTTACAAATAATCCTTTTATTTACCCAGCGTTAATACATCATTGTCTATGTACAATTATCGTGTGCGGGATTAACACGATATAAATATTACAATCTATTTCGAGAGCTCGTTCAAAACTTATATATTAAAAAATTAAAATGGAGTCTCAAGCGAGTCGTTCGACCGAGAATCGCAGGCTTCGAGACGAATGCAAATTTAGAAACATTTTATTGAAAAACAATTACGTTCGTGTGATTCTTTTTATCGTTTACAAATAATAATATACATTATTAATATATTCTTGCATATTGAATGCATTTTATATACTTTCTATAAATTTTCTGTGAAAACGCAGACTAATTGTTATTGAAGAAAATGTTTCTACGTCCGCACAGGCAATAATGGTGTACGGCACTTCGGGCCGAAAGTGCACTCGGGCGAAGTGCAACGATGATCCCGTAGTGGGTTTGCTACTATCATCCAATTTAAAAGTGAACAGTGTACAGTGGTTAATGGCTGTCGGAGTAATGGACAGCGGGCAGGTAGCGAGGGGATCGAAACCAGGCTTCATTCATCGTTCCCCTTGTCGTCACCCTTCATTTTCCCATCTACCCCTCTTATGTTTTCCCTCGGTTTCACGAGTAATCATAAAGTTTATTTCTGGGCCTACGTACCACGTGTCCCTCGTATAACCGTGGCCTGGCCAATTTTGGAGAAGCTAATGCCTCTTCACAATTATAACGTCCACGTGCTCTTCAGTAAATTCCAAGTAAAAATATTCAATTTTCTTTTTTTCTTAAGCGAAACGTCTTGACGAAGAGTAATCGTGAAATGGCAGTGTGTCGAGGAGGACAGTTCCTAATTTTAGATAAGCACGTGTACTGAACCGAGCGCCACGTATCAACCGTCACGAACTCGTCTAATAAAGCTCGAACTCTGAGAGATCTTTCAACCGATCAAGAAAGACAAGGAGACTACGATTGTTCCCTCTCCTATTGCTGGTGCACGTTTCGCGTCAACGTGACCTGATAATGGTTCAATCTGCCAGAAATGCATTCCTGTGAAACGATATATTATATTCTCAAATGGTTCTAATGACACGTAATGACGCAGATCTAAATTATTTAATTTGACACTGCAAATTCAGAGAAATCAAAAGGAGTTTGCAAAAAATTTTTGTCAAGCCACGTTACGTCGATCCCATCGCTGACAATTACCCGGGTTACACAAGAGACGGCCACGTGTCTCGTGCAAATCGCGCTCTCTCTTGCCACGCTTAATGACAGGAAGCGAAGAACGAGACGCGGGCAAGTAGCTATTCGATTGGTACAAATATGTAATTCGTTTCTATTTGCATGCGACACGTGGCGAGTGACATAAGATATTCGCAAACGGCGTGAAACAAATTCGAAAGCTACCTTAAATACGCTAGCTACCTTAGTACATTTGATTAAATTTAATTAGAGATTTAATTAGAGATAAAAACGTTTCGGGTTAGTTAGCTCGCAGATATGATTACGAAGGAACGAATGCTATGTACAAATGCTTGCAATGTATGAATACTAGTCAGAGGAACTATAATGAATAGCAAACTTCATAATTTAATATTATCAAAAACGATACCCACAGCAATGCTTTTATTATATATTATTATTAGACTGAGGATTTTTATGCAAAACAAAGTGCCTAAGCTTTTATTCATCGAACATTGCTTCTAATATTTTATCCCTACTCCATTATGTAAAATTTTACCACACTTCTGTCATTTATAAATGCATAAAAATTCGTAGTCTAATTATTATTATAAATTCTGTATGCTTCACTATACTTCCTCTAATACTTCGCTACGTTCACTAAATTTCGAGCATACACACGATGAATCGAGGATGGGAAACGGCATACTCGAGTGTACGTAGTCGAGAGTTCAATTAAATAAATTAGCTAATGAAATTTAAAACTAAACGTCTGAATGATCGGTTAGGGTCTTTGTTAAACACATCTGTGGTGGCTCGTAAACCCTCGATCGCGCCACTTGAGCGTGCCTCGAGTATCTCACTATAACAGTACGAGGCAAAATTGAACGGTATTAACCCGCGCGAACACATTCGCCGTCATTAGTATTACATATTAAAGCGATTCGAAGATTACCATTATTAAGACCGTTCAATTTTGCCTCAATTTCCCTATTGCATAAGGCGTCTGCTCCATCCTCTTATCGGAATAGAAATCAGCGTTGTCCAGGCAGAACCACGAACATCCCTTAAATTATTAGTACGTATCAACAAATTCCCGCGCATGGACAGCACCGATTAAAAAAAAAAAAAACGTCGCTAGTTTCGTTCGATTTTCGCTTGAGGAAATTCCGACAGCCTTCCAGTTTTCGTTTTACAAGCGGTTGCCGGTCGCTTCTCGCCGTGCCTTTGTCCCTACAGTGACTAGTTCGTTCAGCACTAATTTATAAAACTTAGTTAGTAATTCGAATCGCACCGTTCCAATGCGATCTATCGGCTTTAATACTAGTGAGATCATCGTTCGACAGGGTGGGCGAGAATCGTCGACAACCGAACGAAAACAAAAGGAAGATCCTCCGTCACGTTTATTAAACGAAAAAAAGTTGGTAGACAAAAATAGTAATAAAATAAAATAAAACGAAAAAGTTAAACAAAAATATATATACATGCGTACGTAATATGATATACATTACGTTAGGCGTGTACCACACTTGGTTTTTAAGTCTTTTTCTATATTAGGAGATCGCGCGACTATCGGCTCGTATTCTTCTTCTTTTTACTTTATCCCCAAATCCAGTCGCGATTTACCCGCGAACGATCGATAGGACCTTCACGATCCTACGCCGGCAATGATTCCAGAGACAGGGTTCGCCCTTGAAGCGCTGCGATGGTCCACTCGAGCGATCCGCGGGAATCGTTGATATTTTTTAATAATTCCCATTACATCGCGGACGTCGATCTCTTACCACTGGCTCCAGGAAACACCACGACCAATTTTATCACTGTTTTATTGGACTAGACATCTTACTGATTGCACGCTCTCTTCCGTCCGCTTCCAGCCTCTCGGACTACAGTCCGCGCCACTTTCTCGTCCACTCTTTGATCCGTTCCATGTCGATCTCTTTCTTCGTTACAATTGAGTTTCCAAATTCGTGGTTCCTTCGAACTGCCTCGACTGAAGGGTGCACGAACGAAGAAGGCGTCAGGCGTATGAAAATTACGCTTCTGCGTTTTTGGCGGTTCAATTATTTCGCGTTCGGTACAACCGGTTTGTTGTTAAGCACTCGATCGGCCAGTATCCTGTCGAATACCTGCAGTCAACGAATGTACGAAATTTCGTGTTAATCATCTTCTCCGTTAAGAAATTGCGAAATGATTATTGCATGATTGATAACGAAATAAAATGCAACGAGTTTTGTGACGTAAGCCTAATTAAGCCGGCGATCGCTCTCTTATCTGCTCCTCTTGTTTACTTATTATAGAATCACATTGAATTTTTCTCGTAGCTCGGTAAAAATGATTCAGCGATATTACGCGCTGGATGTTTTAACTGCTGACACTTTCAAGAAAGTATAAAAAAGAATACGTTGCGATGATTGGATCATTTACGTCATGATCGCTGACTTCCCGATAGACTTTTTACGATGGTTATTTATAAATAGATTTTCTGAAAATTTGTAGAATATTCATCGACTTGCACAGTAGAAATATGCATAGTCTATAAAACTGCTGACACTTCCAAGAATACATTAAGAAATACTCTCTCACGCTTCAGTCATTTACGTCATCGACATTGATTTTCCAGTAGATTTTTTACAGAGGTTGCTTAGAAATAAATTTTCGGAAAATTTTTACCATATCCATTAACTTACAGAGCAGCAATATGCATATTTTTTTAAATTTCTGACACTTTCAAGAATGTATTAAGAAATACACTGCCATGATTCAATCATTTACGTCAATGACATTGATTTTGTAGTAAATTTTCTATGGACGTTGCTTATAAGTAGATTTTTAATTTGTTACATTTCAATTTGAATATGCATATTATTATTTTAATAATTAAATCAATAAAGGATAAAACAAGCTCGTTTTATTTTGGATAAAAATCGCAATCTACTTATAAGACAATACTTATAAGTCTACTTATAAGATTTCGGACGTTTCTAACATCGACTTAGAAAGGGATTTGTTTTACCTTTAATTAACATAATTATTAAAGTAATGAGATGCATATTCTGTAAGTTCGTAAATATTAAACTGTCGTTATAAAATAATAAAAATGAATAATCTTTATAATATAAATATGATCTTGCATAAAAATCCACAGTCTTAAAAACAGTATTCTATTTCGTGCACATACATAAACAAATATAATCCATTCATGAAAACTGTTCATTTTTATGATTGCATGAAACAAGTTTCATATCAATTGGTTTATATATTTTTGTATTATAGATTACATACAATAGGTCCATTTCCATATATGTATACAAATTTTCTATAATTGCATCCGCAAAAATCCGGAGTCTACTTATAATAAAAATAACTCTTTTTCATCGTCCATCCAGCTTCTAATGATAAATTTTACCTTGTCAAGACGACGACGCCTCTGTCGTTGGTGCTTGCAGCCATGACCGGCGCAATGCCTCCTCGTCGAGTTTCTCTTGTCATCGCAGCCGCCTACGGCGTCGTCGCCGTGCTCCGAGCTGAACCCCTTCCTTCGTGCCTCCTTCGATCCATGGATCCTACATTTGACGGCGCGGTGGACGTAGTCGATGTCCGACCTCGATCTCTCTTCCGACGACGATGAGGCAGCCGGCCTCGCGGACGGGTACCGGTTCTTTTCTATCCACACCTGGTTTTTTCTATCGTCGAAAACAATAGCGAACGATGAGCATAGAACTCGATAGACGGTAAGCAAAGCGTATGATTGGGAAGCGTGTTTTTGAACAAAGATTTTGATTACAATGTCGAAGCGATTGTGCGGTAAGATGATTGATAGGTATAACTGAATACGCGTGATTGATGAACCAAGATTTCTTAGCACACCATAAGTCACTAGTTACAAGGTCATTGTAAATCGAATGGTACTTATGGATGCCTGCGATTATTCTTATTTATCCTCGACGATATCAAGCCTTTTTTACGTGCCGGTTGATTGTCGTTGTCATTAGTATCAATCGCTTTGAAACTAGTAATTGCTGGTGCATTCCTTCGACGTATTAACTGAAGAGATTGTTAACTATGATTGATGTCCCACGTCGCGAATATGAAGTCGATTGCGTAACGCGGCACGTGCAGAGAAATAATTCTTTTCAACAGACTTGCATTTTAACTTTCGAATGAGCGGAGGATAAATGGAATACCCTAAAAATATTCGGACGATAAATTAATTAATGGCGATAAGACGAACGATAAAACCGATGTTAACAGTCGTGGGTTAAGTAATCGAAATTATAATGGAACGTTGCAAAAATTGTAACGTAACGTCTCGTAATGAGAATTGAGATAATCTCTAAGTACAGTAATTATTAATACATGTTAGCAAGTAAATATATGCATATTGCCGGTTATAAAACAACGGTTGTTATTTGATCACAGAAGTTAACACACATTGGTAGACATCCCCGTATTGTTTTTAAAACTTCGTTCGTTTGTTTAGCTTAAATATTTTATTTCAACGGATATTTCGTTTTTTTATTGGCGATTCGTGTAGCCGAAAATAATTCTGTTTACACAAATCGCACCCCTAGTAATATCCAGCGCTACGTAATTCGTTGAATAACAGTGGCTTTAGTAGCAGATTCGCGTGGATTTCTGATAAACAAGCGGTAATAGGCTTTTTTTGTTTGCCAAAGAAAGAGACCGACGGCTTCGTACGGGGAACGAGAAAGGAGGATGGGAATGTTTGAAAAAAGTTGGAGATCGGCGTCGAGAAGAGATAGCGGCGAGCGCCGCTCGATCGTCCTAGTACTTCGGACTAACCTTCCTGGCTGAGGCCATTACGTGCAACCGTGAACTTTAGGAAAAGCGACAGAGATTATCGGTGGTGCGGTGATAAGCGCCGCCGCTCTTCTCTGCGTTACGCTTCGCTTTGGTCGTCTACACGCTTCGGGACTGTCGGCGACAATTGTACGCGACACACGGAGCCAGCGTGAAGAGATGAAAAACCAATTCCGAGCCACCTACTACATATCGATGCCGGTCGAAAGTCCAACAAGATGAATTCCAGTCTATCGTGGAGAACGAAAGAATAACAAGACCGATTGGAAGCCGAGTAAATACGTATAAAAGGTGTTTTTCCCGCTATCCGATTAAATTCGCTGCTCTCGTTCAGAGTCATGACTGCCACCCGTAATTCGCAGAGGAGAGAGAGAAGAATTTCTCCTGGAATTATGATTAAACCTTCTATTTAGAACTGTTAGGAGTTTAAATACCTGTCCGGCGACTCTAATAAGTAGACTGCTGATTTGTATGCAAAACATTTGTGACGCCAGTTTAAAAAATGAAATCTGGATGTTCAAGGATAATGATGTATTTTATACTTTTGATAATCTGTACAATTTTGCAGTCTTTATGTTTTCTAATTTTTTTAAAAATGCATAAAATCTGCAGTCTACTAATATGGAAGTAGAATTAATTCCACAGGTGATTCGATAACGAGATACTTCAGTGTCAAATGTTGACTGAGATTTAAAGAGTAAGATTAAACTCTATAAGACTAGAATTCCTCGTTCGAGTCTTTAAATTTTCACCAGTGAAACATGTGATTGTATTTTTTAAATATTATTTTTCTCCGTTGAGTAAATCGATCCCAACGAATATAATACAATAGTGGTTATATAAAAATAATTAGTTTCTTTAAATAATAATAGTATATGAAATTATAAGCATTATACCGAAGGGAAATAATCTCATGGCTGATAATTGCAGCCGAAATCAGTGGAAAAAACCCAGACTGAGTCGAAGTTGGAGATTGTAGAGAAAGAAGTCTTCGCATAATTAAATATCCAGCTACTGAATGTATGTATGGCATGCAGAGAAAGGATGAATCTCAAGCTATCTAATCCTATCACCGAAAATATTATTATTCAACAAGAAGAAGAATAACTAAGCTCTAGACAAATGACTCACCTGAAAATGATTTTACTCATATCGTCTCCCACCGAAAATTTCTATGAACCCATGCAGAATTATTTGATGAACTGTTATCTCGAAATCATCGACAGCATTCCATCGATTATCACTGTTAATTTATAGAAAACTTCTCGGACATGGCGTCAAGTGACATATTGAATATTGCCGGTGATTTCGAAGATAACCGATGCACAAAGCGGATGCAGCGTGGAGGGCGTAGGGATACCAAAAAAGAACAAAAGAAGAAACTAACATCCACTCACACGGCGTCCGTCGTCGCGGGGGTCGTCTTCAACGGCTTGCAGTACTGTTCCAATTGCGCGTACGTGCACGTACGGTAACAGCACTCCTCCGTAAGCCCCGGTCTCATTGACGTGGTCTCCGTCTGCTGCTGAGGAGGGTCTTCCTCGAAGCTATACGAGAGCAGTTCGTTGTAACCGCGATCCTTGCACGTCAGGTGCAACGCGTCGCTGAGGTTTTTCGAGCACAACCTGATCATAGATCTCTTGTACGGCATACTGTTCACAGAATTGAGAAACGCGAGAAACAGCAACCCAACCAGTACTGCCCTCCTGATTCTGTCTCGCGTGATTATGTTCATGCAACCACTTCGTGACATCTCGGCGGTTGCTTTCAAATGGCGAAAAGCGAAGAGAAAATATTCTGCACTGAACCAGGTGGCCACGATGGTTCCGTTTTTGTACACGTTTAACTGTCGATTCTTTTGCATATATATATATATATATTTCGATGTAAGCTCTCGTTTCTTTTGCGTACGTTTTCACTTCTGAACTTCCACGAAGTCTCTCTCGGTCGAGGATCTCTCTCAAAAAATGAAAGGTGCTCCTTGGTTTCTATCGTTCCACGTTTGGATCGTGATTGACGGTACAGGTCGGCGTCGGGCTTGAATTTATAGACAATTCTCGATGGAGGCGTCTCGTTGCAAGGACGGCGACGAAGAGAGCGTGGTTCTTGGTGCCACCGTTGAAACCTCCGTTGGTACCGAGCTCCTCGGTGCCACTGGTACCGGCTCGCCTCGCCACGCGGTTCTTGTTCCAGATTTCACGGATTAGGAGGAGAGGAACGAGATAAGGAGACGGCACAGGGAAGGGTAGGGATCCACGCGGATCCAGAGTAGGTGGCGGCGGCGACTGGGTAGGGGGAGAGGTCATGTTGGCTGCTGGTGGTACACGGCCTCGTGTGTGATCCATGCCAGATCTAGAGGAGGGGTTCGGATCGCCTCGATCCTCCACGTTCGCTGCTGTACGCTACGCTAGAATCGAAGAACAGCCGATAATCTCTTCTAAGATAGTTTAGCAAGATGTTGCCTGTCACGTCCAAAGGATTAATGTCCCAATAGGATTCTATTAATCATTGTGGTTCGCGTTACGTTTAACTAGTGTTCTTGGTTCTTCAAGGCCTTCGTCACTGGATATTTCTAAGTGTTCATTGAATAGGAAAATGTAGTACACTGCTGTTCAAAAGTAGTATATGATTGGAATCATTAATCGCTAATCGACCATAGTGCCGAAAATAAATAGGATTTATGAGAACTTTTAGATATATAAAATTAACAGCCAGAATCTGAAGATCAGCAATAGCAATAACACAGTCCACAAGTATTATAAATGCATCTTTATGCATTAGCTGCTGTATTTTCAAGTTAAGGCTCAAAAAGTACAAGCTTGAATTTTTATGTTTTCGGTGTCCACTATTTACGAAACAATTAAAACCACCGAGCAATTATACTAACTACAAAGATCAGACTTTCAAATAGAATCAAGTTTATTCGCGGTTAGCCATTATCCAGAAAACCAATTGATAAATTATACCAATGACAAAACCGTTCGATCTTTTCTCAATTAATAATAGCCTAATATTTAATAATGAGAAATAAAAAAATTGTAATAAGAAAATTTAGATTTCTTTAGACAATATTTCTTCGTGAAGCAACAGGCAGACTCGGTTGAAGTCAATGGTGGTCTATTTTCGAGGAAGATGCGTGATCGACCTCCTACCCCCGTTTCTTTCTCGGCGATCGTACTAATTCCGATTATCGTCTGGTTACGGAGAGATTGTTCGCCTGTTTCTATGAATAGAAGCATTCGCCCGCGTGAAACAAATCAAGATAATGACTCTTGCTGTTTCTACTCGCGATTTAGAAGATGACGCGACGTGTCCCAAACGCGATTCCTCCTGTTTCAACTTTACTTTGATTCTTAGTTAACGGATTTTTATGCATATTATTAAATTGTGCATCCAAGGTAGAATATATTAGAATCATTACGAAGAATTCCAAAAAAAATGAGATCCTATTTGGAATTCACAAAAATAATGTAATTAAAAAAACCTTACAATTAGTCTCTATGTTTTGATTTAGAGACCTGCATATCTGAGACAGCCTCTTCCAGTTTACCATCATCTTTGCATTTGATCTTTAATCTTTACTTCATGCATAAAGAACTCCTTCATGTTCGATTCAAACGAAGTATTCACTTTGAACAATGTTTTATTTATAAAATCTAATTGCTGCAGAATAATACGAGCAGAGAGTGAATTTTTTTATTCTGATGAACTAACAGAAAGATGAAATAACGAGGCGCCAGTAGATCGTAGACCGTAGACGGTGTCGGTTTACGGGGCGTCAGCATATCGATTTTCCACAAGTGTAATCGAAACGTTTGAGGAAGGATTTTTTTTGGTTTTTAGTCTGGTCTTTCAGTGTTTAACCATAGTCGTGAAAAAAGAAATGCATAATAAACCTAACTGTTCGGCGTACATTTAGTTATGAATTTCTTTTTTTATTATTATATCTGCTCGCTTTCTTCTCTGGTTACGCAAAAAGGGGAAGAGCATTTATAGTCTCGCGTAACGGGTTTCATCTGCCCGCAATAA